ACTCCAGTAATGTCGCTATTCTCTCAAACGTTATGGTGGATGAGATTAAGGATGATGCTTTGCTTTGGGTGATCGCAGGCGCAAAGTGACTGAGTAATATAATGTCATGGGAGTAATCTTTCCTTTTTTTTTGAAACAAGGCAAAAGATTTGCCATTTCATTGAGTAAGAAAGGAGTTATCGTACAAGGGCCGCAAGGCGGCAAAATAAAAGGTCTACTCTCGCGGCATTACAGCACTCATGTGCTTCGCACTCGCCACTGCCCCAAAAAGACACCTCCTCTTTGATCTTACAGATTAGGACCACGGAAAGGATGGCCGTGTTTTGAAAGACCCTAGCGTTACGCTCTGTCCATATCTCCCATGAGATAAGCATCATCAAGGAGGTAACGCCTTAAGGGAGCCAAGGTGAATCTGAAGGTTGCCGTTTCCACCAGTCTTTCACCAAAGTCCTCGTCTGCCATATCGTTGTAGAAATGTGATGCATGCCAAGCCACGCAAGAATATGGTTCCAAATGCGGATGGTGAAGCGGCATTGGAAGAAGAGATGGGCCGCCGACTCCTGGCATTGCTTACAAAGTGGGCAAAGGCCACAGTTTGGCCAGCCGCGACGTATGAGACGATCCGATGTCCAAATCATATTTTGAAGGACACCCGCTTTGCGGGACTATGTCTAGGCCTTGTCTAGGCCTTGTACTGTTGTGCTGGATGCTTGGTTCGTTGCTTTATAATATAAAGCGGGGGGAGAACATTTTTCTCAATCAAAGATGATGCTTTGCTTTGGGTGATTGCAGGCGCAAAGTGACTGAGTAATGTAATGTTATGGGAGTATTCTTTCCTTTCACCCGCTTTGCGGGACTATGTCTAAGCCTTGTCTGTTTATATACGGCAAGCCTACTGAAGCCCTTTGCATCTTCGCTGAGAGTGCAGTGCCAATGCAAACGAGGCGTAAACCTTGGTGCAGCTGTCTAGGAGCATCTCGATTTTGGCCATCGCAAGAAAACGTCAGGTTATTTTCCGTTTCCGTTGACACGGGCGAGGCCGAGGCACAGGAAAAAGGAGGACATGTACGACGCTTGACCACTAAGGCAGCGACCACGACCACGAGCACTGGCACTTTACGTTGAAGCTGCCAGTCACGCCACTACGCTCGCGACTGGCGAGACGTCCGCGATTTGCTACGGTAGGTTCACTTGGTCTCGCTACCTCGGGTCGCGGTGCAAAAAGCTTGTGCCTGGGGAAGTTGAGTAGCATGGTGCTCCGTCCAATCTTGGCAGCTGCATTGCATAATTACATTGCCATTCTGAGCATTTGTGTAGCTGTCAGTGGTGTCTGTGATGTGTGTGTGTGTGTGTGTGTGAGAGAGAGAGAGAGAGAGAGAGAGATAGATAGATAGATATATATAGAGAGAGAGAGAGACCACGAAGCTTGGCGGAAGCTTCGTCCACACCGCGTTTCACTTGTCACCCATGTTTATCCGAGCAAAGAAAAAACTCTCACCGGGAAACCTCTACTCGCTTCTCTGCTGGCTACACCTGCTATATACGGCCCCATCGATCGATCGATCGCACGCAAGACACCGCCACAAGGCTCCTCATCTCCTTCCTCTTCTTCTTCACTCGTCTCTCTCTCTCTCTCGGTGCGGGCTGCAGCATGAGCGATCTCCCGCCGGCGCCGGCGATGGGGGGCGAGCGGGACATCGAGCTGGGCCTTCCCACCACCAACACCACATCAGGCTACACGCTTCAGCACATTCTCGAAGACATCCGCCAGTTTTCGACGCTGCTGGGCAGCACGCCCAAGATGCTTCACAAGCTCAAGGTAAGAGAAAATTGGCCTTTTTCCTCGCACTTACTTTGCACAACTTATTCTTCTTTCTCCCCACCTTCAGGAAGCCAACAAGGAGTTGAAATCGGCCGCTGAATCTGCTGCAGTCAAAGGTGCAAACTCCAGCCGTTAGCCTGCATTCATGCTCTTGCATTTCATCTCTAAGCGCGTGGTTTATGGCAAACCTTGCAGAAATCAAGGGGCGCATGGAGAAAGACATGGACGAGGCGGTGAAGATGGCACGGATCATGAAAGAGAAGCTAAGCAGAATCTTCCAAGGCGTGCTGGTTCCAGTTCTGAACAATATGTCAACTGGTCATGCATATCCAGGGCTCACGGTTCCTGTCACCCTGGACCCGTCAACACTGTCCATGATCACGTAAGATCTTGATGCATTTATCTGTGCAGCTTAATCATCTAGAGCTCAGTATGTTAACTGCTACTGTAGTTGGTAGTCTACCAGATAATTCCTACGCGTATGTCTGGTCTGATCTCGAGAAACGCTGCTAGTTAGTTCAAATTCGTTTGGTGCGGTCAATTAAAAACAGTTCATACAGCCCTTTCAGCGAGAAAGGGTGAAATTTGACTAGCGTTTGGGTCATTACAGGGCACTGAAGATAAAGCTTAAGGAAAGAAAGAAAGATCTTAAGGTGTGCTTACCTAACTCGATATCCATCTTATCTTGTGTGCCAAATCAAATTAAAGATCCTCCGGTGTACTTAGCAATCTAATCGCGCCTGTTGCAGAATCTGGGAAAAGCTATGCAGGAAGAGTACATAGAAGTGGTTCAGAGCAGGATTTTCACAGGTGAGGAGCTGAACTTTCTTCATTTTTCTTTCTGGTTGCTCAGAACTCGTGTATGAATGGCCTTGCGCTGCGTTACCCTTTTTTTGTGAGAATTCTGAACCTTGTGCGTGCCGTGGAACAGTCACCGGAGTAAAGCTCTCTGATAAGGTAAGCATCAAGCTACCTGTACTAGTACACTAGGTAGGAGGGCATGCATACATTGCTTCCCATCTCACTGCCATGGCATAAAACATAAGCAGGTGATTCGCGTGATCGACACCAACAGCATCACGCAGATGTTTGAGCACAGAGTTCATGGAATAGGTCCAGAGCAGGTCCGCTTTCCATTTCACTAGTTAGTTAGTTAGTATTAGTAATAATTCTAATCACTCAGCTAACGACCCGATTTCGTCTTGGGAAAACTTGCGCTTGCTTTGGTGCACAGGCCGGCGCCATAGGGGAGGAAATCAAGGAGCGGCGCGGTGCCGCCATGGATCTCGGCAAGAAGGCTGTTGAGGTGCGAAAGGTAAGCAGTCTTCTTGGTTATACTCCTACCAGACCGCCATGCAGCAGCTTTCGCCAAATGGCGTTTTTGTTTTGTTTGCGCAAAAGGCCTGATGGATGGCAACTGTGTTTCGTTTGGCAGAATTTCAGGGAGATGCTGGCGCTTGTCAAAGCGCAAGAGAAGATAGTCAAGGCACTGAGTCAGGTCGATCCGTGGCTCCCTTTTCATTTCGACCGCCAGTCTCATTTACTTGGTCCATATATGTATGTTTGTGGATGTGCCTCGGGCTGGGAGCTAAGCTAATGCTTGCTGCTGAAAAATGAAAATGTGGTGCCAGGTCCGTCAGAGTGCTGCGGTCCGTGCACGATCTATTGCGGAGGAGCTGGCCCGTGCGCGATCTAGGGCCGAGGAGCTGCGCCAGAAGATGGAGGAGACAAAGCTGCTCATCGTACTGTTTGTGATCTTCTTGTTGTTGTTCATCGTCGCGGTTACTCTCGGAATCTCCGGCTGACCACTTACGGAGTAGTACTTGTTCCTACTACTTGCATTGCATTGCATGGCACGCAACTGGGATTTTAGGACAATTTTATATCGTGGCATGGCAGCAGTGACTTGTTTCGTGACTTTCGTGGGAGTGGTGGTATGCTAGTAGAACTTCTGGGATTGCTGTACTGTAATAATGTCCAATCATGTGTGTACGTGGGGGTTGTTTCCTCGACCGTTGGGAAACACGTACTGGCTTAGTTGTGTGGAGATGCTTACACTAACATTTCACTATGTTGCACTCCTTCGGACAGAGCCACACTGTAGAGAAAACATTGTCGTATGCCAAGTGTAAATTATCAGGGGTCGGCATATAGGTTGTATGTCGAGTGAATGAAATAAATAAATAAACTCGGCAACCAGTGTACGCTCGGCAACCAAAGATGTGCGCCGAGTACTACCCAAAAAACACAAAAGATCTCAGCAGAAAAAAGAACAACTCCACAAGGAATGAGTTGTTGAAAAAGACGAGAACACATGTCCTTTCCGGGCTTTTTTGACAGCTCTGTGATGTCATATATTGACATCGATGTTTGTTGACTGTCCACTAACAAACACTTTAGCTTACATTTTTAGCATTTCCATTTTTAAATGCGATTACATGATAGCCGAGTGCCCTATATTTGACACTAGGCTTGTACTTTATATTTCTTCTTTTGCTCTTTGATTTTTAAAGTGTAAAATATTTTTGATGCTTTCCCTTTCAATTGTGTTTCTTTATTCTATGTTCTTTCTCTTCAAGTCGTTAATATTTACCGCCCTTTCTTCTCATCTGTTTCCACTCGCTCTCTTTGCCGCCCATTTTTCAACAATGTTTCTTTACTATGTTTTTTCATTGAAACTTTTGTTTGTGTTTTTATTGCATTTTATTTCTTTTCCCTCTCTTACTCATTCTCTCTCCTAAGTTTTCACTGTTGTTTGTATCCCCTTATTTTCTGCTCTCTCTTGTTACCACCACTTCAAAGTAATGGTGTTGCCTTTGTACTCTTCACCCCACCCTAGCGTATGTTTAGGACCACATGCGAAAGGAGAAGTGATTCCAACCCTTAGGGCAACTCCACGCTTAGGGCAACTTCAATGCGGGGACGCATTCCGTTCGCTTGCGTCCATTTCTGACCTCGTGGACAGAAAAGGCAGGCCAATGCGGCGACACATTTTGTGTTTATGCCCGTTTCCTGTCAGCGCGAACCCATTTCCTGCCCATATTTGGTCTGGGTTTGTGTCACCATGGACGGGA